GCCGCGCACAAATCGGCCTATTATGTGGGATGTATGGTACTATACTATATTTGGGTCATGCAGAATTTTGTCCATCAACAGTACTTCGCCCTTGACCGGCTTCTTCCGACCTTCAACGGATTATGTACGGGTCCTTTGCTTGACGATCGTGCTAAAGGTAATATCGGGGCTTCGGGTAGAACATGGTGTCGGGGTGAATTTACAGGAAACTACAGGTGGGGAGTTTAGGGTATATAGGGCTTCTATAAGGCTTCCATAAGGTATATCGACCTTCTATAAGGCTCCTATAACGGTAACTACCCACCTGAAAATGTCCTAGATGAATATGCCAGGACTCTGAGATTATTACTAAGTGCTCCGACCTTTCATTGGAGTAGTCCAAGAGAGGAGCAAATGATTATGTCCTTGCTACCTTTAGAACTGACACGTTGGGATCTGCGGCACCCTAACCCGCCTAAACCCTAACGGACCAATACCCCTAGACCCTGAACCCCTGCGGTTTGAAGCCTGGGTGTTGGGGCCGGGCTTAAGATTCGGCTAGATCAGGCCTTGGGGTTATAGGCTCAAGGACGGTTCCTTTTGGAACCTGGAAGCCTAAACCTTGAACCCTATACTCTGAACGGTTCTTGTCGGAGCCTAGCACCCTAAACCCTAAACCCCTAAACCCAAGATCCAGCACCTTAAACCCTAAACCCTAGATCCTAGAACCCTAAACCCTAAACCCTAAACCGTGGATCCTAGAACCCGAGTGTTCGGATCTTCGGACCCAAAGGGTTCGGACTCAGACACAGCCAGAACCCTAAGACTCCCTGTGCCTGTATTGTATATACTTAAAGCCTCAAATAAGGAATTCTTATATAGTACTATCTAGGTACCGTTTAGTATATACTTAAACCTCCAAGGAGTTCATGTATAGTACTGATTTTATGGTACATGAAGCCTTGGGCAAGTGCTGGCCCTTTTTTGTCCCATGGAGGGGGGTCGAGCCGGCCTTATCAGGGATGCCTTCCGAGAAGTAGGTCTCAACCCTAAACCCTAAACCCTAAAACCCTATACCCTAAACCCCAAACCCTAAACTCCGAAAGCCTAAACCCTCTATACCCTAAACCCCAAACCCTAAACTCCGAAACCCTAAACCCTCAGCCCGGCCTTATCAGGGACGCCTTCCGAGAAGTAGGAGTGTCTCGTCGTCACGGATGCCACATCGAAGTCTTCCTCTTGGCAGATTCTGGGCCCTAGGCTTCAGGGTTTAGGGTTTAGGGTTTAGGGTTTAGGGTTTAGGGTTCAGAGATCCAGGTTTAGGGCCAGTTTAGCGTTCAGGGTTTAGGGTTTATGGCTCTAGGCTTAGGGTAAGGGTTCTAGGTTTAGGGCTCAGGGCCACAAGTTCTCATTTTTTTCGGATTCGGGCTTGCTGGTTCGAGGGCTGAGGGCTTCAGAGGGCCTGGGTTTTGGAGTAACAGCAGCCCGAAACGTCCTTCAGGTTTAGGGTTTAGGGTTTAGGGTTTAGGGTTTAGGGTGTCGAAGCCAAGAACTTATCAGGGCCCAAGTACACATAGGCTCCAATCTCAGGTTTCGCTTCCGAGCTCGGGTTTTAGTATTTAGTCGTGTCCATGTCCATTTGAGTTGTTTGCATGGCATGTATCGGGTGTAGTTTTAAACTTCGTGTAGCCTTCAAGAAGGGTGTTGATGTAGGGGCCATAATAATTAGAGTAGGGTTTTGGAGGTTCCATATCGAAGCTATAGCATAATTTACCCCAAAACCCTATTCTAATTCTTAAGGCCCCTATATTAGATGCCTGCATGTTGCGAGGGTAGATACTTTCGGCTAGGGCTCAAACCCAAGGCCACAACCAACAAAACCCAAACGTCCAGGGAGTCCGGAAAGGTTCAGGGACGGCAATATCTCACGGTTTAGGGTTTAGGGTTCAGGGTTTAGGGTTTAACTATCTCTGGACTTGAATCCTACATGTCCAAGATGCTACATCCCATGCCCTAAATCCATACCCCAAGACCGAAAACCTAAACTTCGGGGTACGTACAACCAAAGCCTCAGCTTGCTACTCGATTATATTATAAGTTAGAGCTGTGCCAAAAATACAAGCGTAATTGGCTACAAGTGCACTGAACCTTCAACGCAAGCACCCCTAAACCCCATCATTCCAAAAAAGGTATTCTATAACCTCTGGTAGATCTTATAGCAACGCTTAAAGTAACTTTTCTTTCAACCCTTTTAGATCCATTCAAAGGACCCTATTCTCTCTAAGAAGGCCCCTACATGCTTTAGCTTTTTTCAGGGAGCCTAACTCTTAACGCCCCGATAAACCCTGAACCCACAAAGACCTGGACGGCGGCTCTGAACCGTAGACTCTAGACCCTAAAAGCCTACAACCCTAAACCCCAAAAACCCAATTAAGAAGGCCAAATCTATGAGGGGATGTTGGCAACCCTCCCGAATATTAGCCTACCACAACTACTATCTTAAACCCAAGTCCTTTTTATTATCTTAATTCCCCAATAAGCCAAGGGGGAAATAAAAGGTTAAACTTTCAGATTGTTACTAAATTATAAGAGCACAAAATGTTTGTAAGGGTTGGGTATTGGAGAACTAAGTATTGGGTCCTTTGGACGCTTAGGGTAACCCCTAAACCCTAAACCCTGAACCTTAAACCCTAAACCCTGAACCCCTAAAGCCCTACCATAAACCGTAAACCTTATACCCTAAACCCTAAACCTTAAACCCTGGGTCCTTTGGACCCTTAGGGTTAGCAGCCAGGCCTCATCCCTTCCGTCACGGCCGGAGGCCGCCCCGGGGCACTCCGGAGGCGGTGGCGAAGATTCAACGATCTCCTGGCTCGGGTTTCGGGTTTAGGGTCGTAAATTTTTGGGGTTTGGGATTTGAGGTTTAGGGCTTTAGGGTCTTAGGGTTTGGGGTTTTGGCTTTGGGGTTTAGGGTTTTAGGGTTTGGGGTTTAGGGTTTAGGGTTTTAGGGTTTAGGGCTTTAGGGTTTAGTCTTTAGGGTTTAGGGCTTTAGGGTCTAGGCTTTAAGGTTTCAGGGCTTTGGGTTTAGACTTTGAGTATTGTGGTAACTTAAGTTCAATCCCTAAACCCTAAACCCTAAACTCTCCCTTAACCACAAACCAGTTTGGGCTGTAGGGTTTTAGGGTCTCGATTTTCACAATTTATAAGGGTCTTGGGCTTTAGGGCTTTAGGGCTTAGGGTGTTGGGGCCTAAAGGGCCTTAGGGCTTTACGGGTGTAGGGCTGCAAGGTTGGGGGGGGCGTTTAAAGCATTAGGGCTGGCTGCTGACCTTAAGGGACTGGCTGCTGACGTTAAGGGTCCAAAGGACCCAGGGTTTAGGGTTTAAGGTTTAGGGTTTAGGGTTTAAGGTTTAGGGATTAGGGTTTTAGGGTGTAGGGCTTTGGGGTCTTGGGCTCGGTTTTGGGGCTCTGGGGCTGTGGAGTTTCAGAGTTTTCGGCTTTACCCATAGGCCCCATAGTAGTTTCTTTTTGGGGGTTCATATTTAGAATCCTGTAAGGTAATCCCAAAAAGGAATTTCATATTTAGAATCCTGTAAGGTAATCCCAAAAAGGAATTACTATGAAAATCTCAGTGCACCGGGAGATCCCAAAGCAAAACTTGGTCCGAGATCGACTGCCCGGCTGCGGATGCTTTGTTTCAACGCCTACACGCATAACCCAACACCCTAAAACTGAAATCCTGAACCGGGAAACCCTAAACCCTGAACGCCCACGACCCAGACCATCAGTCTACAAACTAGTGAACGCTGGCATGGAGCCTTGCCGTCGTCAGACTCGGACTGGAATGGTGTTTATCTGCAAGTCGGACACAAATCTTGCTCTACAGTGGAACCCTAAACCCACCCTAAGCCCTGAAGCCCCAACAAACACCCTTTTAAGCTCTAAGCCCCACACCAAACAACCACGCTAAACCCGAAATCCAAGACCACTTCGTTTGGACGCAAGCCTAAACCCGAAACAATGCCCGGAGCCTCGTTGCCAGGCTTCTGCGGTGTCGGCATGAAGTTGAGTGCCTGAAAGGGCTCTAGGAGGGTTTTAAACGGATTCCATAATGATCATAGTGGCTTGAGCTTTATAAGGTTTAATTAGGGTTCGGAGGTTTAGGATTTGGGCGTTTAGGGTGTTAGCGAAGTGGGGGTTTAGTTCGTCGGGCTTTTAACGCTTTCGCTTTTAGAGCCGTGCCTGGAAACGCGATGCCGTCGGCGTCACCTCTTCTGGGTGCATCATGTCTGCTGACTTTCTCAAAGCAGACAAGGTGTCTGGATCGAAGACAATGAGTGTGGTTTAAATTTCATCGCTTTAGGTTCGCGTGTGGCGGTTGAAAGTGAAAGCACTGACGGTTTGCAGTTTGAGCTCGGGCTCGCTATGGGGTTTAGATTTCGGTGCCTACTTTATAGGGCCGAACAGTATCAAGTATCGGCTCTAAGGGCTTTGGTATGTATGTCACTGAGTCTAGGGATCTTCATGGTGATTAGAAGCGACCTCTTGAGCCAGGCATGGTCTTGGGCAAGTAAGGCAGGGGTTCGGGAATAGGGCATTCAGAGTGGGAAAACCCACATATACAGTCAGACAAAATCCCAAATTTCATGCTCTGAACCCAAGTTTGCTTCGAGCCACGTACATACCTGTCTGAAATGCCAACGCCAGATCCTATAACCCGAATTACTCTCCCTTGTGGGGTCTGATCCTACCTGGAAGGGAACCCGTAACCCTGATCCCTAAACATGAGCAACAGAAGCGCATCTCATGGAGCGGAAACCGAACATCCGTAAACAACTTCTTTAGGTCCCTATGAAGACACCCTCCACCACCACCACCACCACCACCACCACCACCGGCCTCAGCAGATAAGTATGGCGATTGGAGAACAGGTGCAATCAACATGAGTTCCCAAAAAACCTGAATTCGGGGCGGCCCTGAAGCTTTTGAAGTTTTTCTCCACGCCGTGCACAG